AGCCCTCTGCCAGTGAAAACGGCCCTCCGAACTCCAATTTCACTGACAGAGGCAACATGGGCCGGTCATGGCCCGGGGGAGGGCCTCTTCTGTTGCTGCTCCGGCCCTCTGGAACGGACTCCCCGTGGAGATCCAGACCCTTACTACCCTCCCAGCCTTCCGTAAAGCTACTAAGTCCTGGCTGTTCCGGCAGGCTGGGGGCTGTTGAAGTATCCAGCCCCTTTTCAATTGTGAATGTTGTTTTTATTAAATTGTTGTATTGTCTTGTATTGCCTTATTTATCCCCTTTCCCTGTTTTATTGTAAGCCGCCCGGAGTCCTTCGGGAGTGGGCGGCATACAAAACTAATAAAACCAAACCAAACCAAACCATTCACTGTTTCGAGGGAGGCCCTGCAGGCCAGATCTAAGCACCCCACGGGCTGAATCCGACCTGCGGGCCTTGAGTTTGACACCCCTGAGATCTAGACTCTAGAATAGCAAAACCTCAGAAAAGGGATCGTTGGTGGTCTCTGAGCCTCATTGTTCTCTGGAAGACATTTCATTAGCCAAAGCAGTACTGATGATGTTACCGAGTTGGGTAATGAAACGTCTGCAAGAAAACCACCAAGCTCAGAGAGCGCCAAGGAGCCCTCGTGTCAACCCTGAGCGGTAAATAGTCTCCTTTATTGGTAAGAGTACTTCAAGTCCGGCAGTACCTTTTCCAACTCAACTGTATTACCGGGCATAAGGTTTCATGACCTTCAGTTCGCTCACAAAAACCTCTGCCTATTGATAAAAATGGGTTCGTCAGAGAAAGTGCCATCGGATTACTCCCGATTTTTCCTTGGATCTGCAAGGAATTGGATCTGAGATCCATACACTCCAGGAGCCCATCTGATGTCATCTGTTTTAGAAACGCCAATTTAAAGCCAGGAGATCTGGCCACACTGAAGAACCTTTTCAGTAATCAGCAGCTTCATCTCACTTTTCTCCTGAAACAGCAGATCATCATCATCCTCTTTTAACAACCACATCAGAGGTGGGTTGCTCCCGGGTCGGCCTGGATCGGGGGAACCGGTAGTAGCAGCGGCGGGAGGCTCCACCCACCCACTTGGATGCTTCTGCGCATGCGCACGAGCGAAGCGGTAGTAAAAAAATTGGAAACCCACCATTGAACCACATAATCCCCTGCGGGGCGAAGTCTGGGCAACTGAAAGGAGCTGAGTGTTTATTGGCCAGATGCCCTTCCTGTCGCCAATGCGGAGTTTTGTTCAGCAGATACCGTATTTTTCGAAATATAAGACACACCTTTTTCCCTCAAAAAAGAGGCTGAAAATTTGGGTGCGTCTTATATACTGAATACAGCATTTTTTGCCTCCCGAAACCCCGCCTCCTTCACCAAAATGGCTGTGCATTGTCTTTAGGAGGCTTCCAGAGTGCTCCTGGGGGCTGGGAAAGATAGAAATGAGCAAAGAAAGGGCCATTTTTTTTTGCTCAATTTTGCCCCCCCCCATCCCCCAGAAGCACTATATGAGTCTCCTAAAAGCTATGCATACCTTTTTTGACAAAAAATGTGCCCATGTTAGGAAAAAAACAGGTCATTTTTTACCCAGTTTGGGGGGGGGGGGCATCTCCCAGGAGCACTCTACAAGCCTCCTAAAGGCTATGCATGCTCTTTTTTTGGAAAAAAAACCGGGCCATTTTGGGGAGGTCTGCAGAGTGCAAAAATATATATATACTTTAATTTGCCTCTTCAAAATCTTGGTGCGTCTTATACTCTGAAAAATATGGTACATTCTCATTTTACCCAGAGGGAGAAGCATCTGCCTCTACCCAGGATCAAACTCACAGCCTTCTGACCGTGAGGGAAGAACCCCACCTCTAGGCCACCGCAACGCTCTCTCTTGAAAGAAACAGATTCCTCCTGGAAAATGCCAGGCGGTCCCAGGCTCACCTGATCATCTTCTCCTT